AATCTGGCCATACACAGTACAAATAGCATTCGTGTCTGTTCCCAGCAAGTACAGTTTATTGGACTGAAGAGAAGATTAGGTTTTATTTAATTTCAAATACTGAGTTGAAATAGATATGCCACATTTGTGTAGGAAGCTCAGTTCTTTTGTTCTGAGCTAGCTCACTGTAGTGGCCCTATAGGAAACACAGGAGAGTACAAGAATGCCCCTTTCTCAAAGGCAGAGTGTTTTCACTGTAAGGCAAACTAGGGTTCAATTAAACTTAGGAAAAGTAGTTGAATCACATTCAGTTTCAAGTCCTAGCAGCAAGTGGTAATTCAGGGTAAGAATACCACTCTTGTGCTAACCTGGCCATACACAGTGCAAATAGCATTCAAGTATGTTCCCAGCAAGTACAGTGTATTGGACTGAAGAGAAGCTCATGTTTTACTTAGTTTCCAATACTGAGTTGAACTAGATATGCTCTATTTCTGTAGGAAGCACAGTCCTTTGTTTCTGAGCTAGCTCACTGTAGTGTCCCTATAGGAAACACAGTAGAGTGCAAGAATGCCCCTTATAAAAATCAGAGTCTTCTCATTGTTAGGCAAAATAAGGTTCAATCAAACTTCCTAAACAGATTTGAATCACATTTAGTTTCAAGTTCTAGCAGCAAGTGTTAATTCAGGGTAAGAACACCACTCTTGTTCTACTCTGGCCATACACAGTGCAAATAGCATTCGCGTCTGTTCCCAGCAAGTCCAGTTTATTGGACTGAAGAGAAGCTCCTGTTTTACTTCGTTTCCAATACAGATTTGAACTAGATATGCCCTGTTTGTGGAGGAAGCACAGTTCATTTGTTCTGGGCTAGCTCACTGTACAGGCCCTATAGGAAACACAGGAGTGTGCAAGAATGCCCGATTCTCAAAGCAGAGTGTTTTCCAGGTATGACAAACTAGGGTTCCATTAAACTTCCTAAAAGAAGTTGAATCACATTCAGTTTCAACTTCTAGCAGCCAGTGTTAATTCAGGGTAAGAACTCCAATCTTGTGCTAATCTGGCCATACACAGTACAAATAGCATTCACATCTGTTCCCAGCAAGTACAGTGTATTGGACGGAAGACAAGCACCTATTTTACTTACTTTCTGATACTCAGTTCAACTAGATATGCCCCGTTTGTGTAGAAAGCTCAGTTCTTTTGTTCTGAGTTAGCTCACTGAAGTGGCCCTATTGGAAATACATGAGAGTGTTAGAATGCCCCTTTCTCAAAGCCAGAGTGTGTTCATTGTAAGGCAAACTAGAGTTCAATTAAACTTACCATAATAGTTGAATCACATTCAGTTACAAGTTCTAGCATCAAGTGTTAATTCAGGGAAAGAACACCACTCTTGAGCTAAACTGGCCATAAACAGTGCAAATAGCATTCGCGTCTGTTTCCAGCAATGACAGTGTATTGGATTGAAGAGAAGCTCCTGTTTTACCTAGTATCCCAAACTCAGTTGAACTAGATGTACCACATTTGTGTAGGAAGCACAATTCTTTTGTTCTGAGCTAGCTCACTGTATTGCCCCTATAAGAAAAACAGGAGAGTGCAAGAATGCCCGTTTCTGAAAAGCAGAGTGTTTTCCTTGTATGGCACACTACGGTACAATTAAACTTCCTAAATGGAGTTGAATCACATTCAGATTCAAGATCTAGAAGCAAGTGTTAATTCAGGCTAAAACACCACTGTTGTACTATTCTGGCATACACAGTGCAAATATCATTCGCGTTTGTTCCCAGCAAGTACAGTGTATTGGACTGAAGAGTAGCTCCTGTTTTAGTTAGTTTCCAATACTGAGTTGAACTAGATATGCCCCGTTTGTGTAAAAAGCACAGTTCTTTTGTTTTGCTACCTCACTGTACTGGCCCTAGGGAAACACAGTAGAGTGCAAGAATGCCCTTTTCTCAAGAGCAGAGTGTTTTTCTTATATGGCAAACTAGGATTCAATTAACCGTCCTAAACAGAGTTGAATCACATTCAGTTTAAAGTTCAAGCAGCAAGTGTTAATTCAGGGTAAGAACACCACTCTTTTGCTATTCTGGCAATACACAGTGCAAATAGCATTCACGTCTGTTCCCAGCAAGTACAGTGTATTGGACTGAGGAGAAGGTGCTGTTTAACTTAGTTTCAAATACTAAGTTGAACTACATATGCCCCGTTTGTGTAGGAAGCACAATTCTTTTGTTTTGAGTTAGTTCACTGTACTGGCCCTATAGGAAACGCAGTAGAGTGCAAGAATGCCCTTTTCTCAAAAGCAAAGTGTTTTTCTTGAATGTCAAACTAGGATTCAATTAAACTTCCTAAATGGAATTGAATCACATTGTTTCAAGTTGTAGAATGAAGTGTTAATTCACGGTAAGAACACAACTCTTCTGCTATTCCGGCATTACACAGTACAAATAGCATTTGGGTCTGTTCCCAGCAAGTACAGTGTTCGGGACTGAAGAGAACCTCCTGTATGACTTATTTTCCAATACTGAGTTGAACTAGATATACCCCGTTTGTGTAGGAAGCACAATTCTTTTGTTTTGACTTAGCTCACTCTACTGGCCCTATAGGAAACACAGTAGAGTGCAAAAATGACCTTTAGTTAAAAGCAGAGTGTTTTTCTTGTATGGCAAACTAGGGTTCAATTAAACTTCCTAAACGGAATTGAATCACATTCAGTTTCAAGTTCTAGAAGCAAGTGTTAATTCAGGTAAGAACATAACTTTTGTGCTATACTGCCATACACAGTGCAAATAGCATTCTCTCTTTCCCCAGCAAGTACAGTGTATTGGACTGAAGAGAAGCTCCTGTTTTACTGTTTCCAATAACGAGTTGAACTAGATATGCCCCATTTGTGTAGGAAGCATGTTTTTTTTGTTCTGAGCTAGCTCACTGTACTGGCCTTATAGGAAACACAGTTGAGTACAAGAATGCCCGTTTCTCAAAAGCAGAGTGTTTTTCCTGCATGGCACACTAGGGTTCAATTAAACTTCATAAACGGAGTTGAATCACGTTGAGTTTCAAGTTCTAGCAGCAAGTGTTCATTCAGG